CAAATCAATACTGAAGTTATAGGCAAAGCCTGTACTTGTGGAGACTAACACATAGGATAGAAAGATTTCGTGACCAAAATTTAATCAATTCCACATGACTACCTATCCAACATAGAAAACAAACAATGCACAGTAGTGTGGCTTTTTATATGTTTACATTTTCTCTTCATTCATTCCTGAGAGAACTTCCTTTTTAAACAACACACAACTCAAGTCTATCCCAATCTGTCCACTACCAATGGAAAATGGAAAATGGAATTTTATTTGAATCTCAGGTCATCCAAATGCTTCATTAGTGGTTGCAGTAAAGGTCCACACTGAATTAAAAGGAAAATGTTATCTGAATTCTTATGACAGGCAGAGGTGGTAGTAATTCATGTCACATTATTTCCTGTTTTCTTTTATTGTTTTCTTTCAGGAGTTATATTTGTTTGTTTTGGTGTTGGGGCTTGAACTATGGGCCACTTTATAGGGCACTCTCCCTTAGCTTTTTCACTCAAATCTGGTGTTCTACCACTTGAGCCATGGCTCCACTTCTGGCTTTTTTCTGGTTGGAGATAAGAGTCTCACAGACTTTCCCTGCCCAGCCTGGCTTATGAACCATGATCCTTACATCTCAGCCTCCAGAGTAGCTAGGATTACAGACATGAGCCACTGGCACCTGGCCAGGGACTAGCTTTTGCTAAGGAAATTGACAGCTTTAAAAGAAGAGCTTAGCTAAGGTGACAAACACATCTTCTTTGGTCATACTTTCTTTTTGACTGCACCTTACACTGATTAGTTTGCATTTTAGATGAAAAAACCAGTATATACCACATTTATAATCAATCATCATCCACCCTGACAGAATCATTGGTTTTAAACAATGCCATGAGCTTATGTCCAGAAATAAGAAATCCAAAGTTTAAAGCTTATCATTTATTTGGCTAAGTACTTTATTCCATAATCATTACACTGTAGTTAGGACATTTAATCCAAGAAAAGTCTGTGCAAAGATCATGCCACCCCATTAAAATCCAGATCCATGAGGACACTTCCTTTCTCTGTGTGCAACTTGCACACAGGGCAAAATTATAGGTGATAAGCACAATGTGTACGTTTCCAAACTCTGGTAAATCGTGGATGGTATCAGTACATTTAAGTATACAGCACATTCAGTGACAGCATTTTCCCACTGCTTCCTTTAGTTGGGGAGACTTTCCTCTAGATGTATTTCCTGGAAAATAGCAGAGATGTTTTAGAAACTCTGCCAGCAGAGGGGGCATTTTCCATGTGTGCATTAGGGCTCCCTGGCTATGCCCTGAGACAGCGGTTCTTGATTTCTTACAGTTTTACCCAGCAGTGTGACTGTTTACAGATACTTTACTGTCTTCACAGATTGAAGCCTGCATTGGTGTGCCAGCAACTTTGGGGTGTTTTTGTTTTTGAAGACCATGCAACTAACAGATGTTTGTTGTTGGCTCCATATCTACATTCTTTGAAAGCTAGAGAATCAAATTGCTGACATTCAGACAACACTAATTCCCATATCCAGGGAGCCTAATTTGCCATCCCTGAGATACTGATTCCTGGTGTTCACGGGTTTAAAAACTATTTCAGTGACACAATATAAGAATGGACTCGAGAGATGCAGTGCTGTCTCCACTAAAGATAATCACATTTTATAAACATCTGCGTCATTACTGGTATGATTCATCTCTAAGCTGTATACAGCTGTGTTTCCAGTTTCAATTAACAATCCCTTAATTGCATATCCATCTCATGTTACTAATTTAGTTAATTTATTCATAATTAAGAGTATTCTGTTTTCTACCAAGGTTTGTTGAGCTCAGAACATTATAAAGAGAAATATTTTAAGGCAGCATCTCTGAAGGATGTTGTTTCTTATAATCACATAACAGTAAAATGTCATTCATGTGCCCAAAGGAAGATAAATTGCTAAGAGATATTTTTTCCAGTAAAATAAGAAGCTATGGGAAGCTGCAGTTCGTTGTGTTTGTAAAACCAAGTTTGATGCTATGCATTTTGTTCTTTTCTTTCTCCTTTCCTGACATCCTCTCAAAAAATTATCTTTTGATTTGGATGATTATTTAAGTATCACAGCAAATCCAGTCACCAGTGCAGATAAAACTGTCATTACCCTGTCAAGTAATGGTGTCTCTTAAAATCTAAGCTATAAAATCTGTACATTTCAGAGGACATTAAAACTACGAATTCTAAAATTGCCAAAGTCTGAGCAAGTGGAATACACCCTTGTGGAAAATGAAAGGCAGATAACATGATACCAGGAAGTTAATTCATTTCAGTTTGACCTTTTCTAGAAAAATACATACACACTTGCAATGAGGATCTTGCCTTTGTTAATATGTGCCCAGGTGTCATTAAAAGTAATAATGGCAAGACAGATTAAAAATACTTTCTCATTTGTTTAGTGTCTAGGAACTGCTGCCTATAGCCTTGACCTATCTTTGAACTTAAAAATGAATCTTATAACTGTCTGGTACTTTGTACATGCTACAGAATAGAAATAATAAGTAATCCTTTGCCTTGCATGAATTCAACTAAAATTAAACTTTCATTATACTTACCTCTTTTACTACCCTGGACATTTACTTGACCCCAGATAAAATGTGTATGCCATTCACTTATCCTTCCACAGATGTAATCATTCATTACATACTTTATTGACCATGTCCTAAATGTCTAGCATTGTGCTAGGCCCTGGAGGTTAGATTAAAAAAGAGAGCAGTTAAGATTTCTACCTTTCTCTCTGAAGGCAGAATCAGATATAGCTCTGACAGTTGTACAAAGAAATATAAAATTGAGTTGCTTAGTGAAGCCAAGAGGATAAGCATGATTAGCAGTACAAAATGCACTTATTTAGTATACCTAATGAGATAATATAGATGATTCTCAATTTATGAAGATTTAGGTTACAAGTCCTGCTTCTGATTCTCCTTAATTGGTTACAATTTGTGAAAAAGTTTAATTGATGATTTCACTGTGAGGAGAAAGGCCAAGATGTAAAACAAGTAATATTCCTCTGTGTGTGTGAGTGTGAGCATGTGCATGCTTATGCACATACACATGCACACACACACACACACACACACACACACACACACACACACACACACATGTGCGTGTGTGTACTGGGCTTGAATTCAGAGTCTGACACCCCGCCTTTTCACTCATGGCTAATGATCTACCACTTGAAGCACAACTCTCCAGTTCCTGATTTTTGCTGGTTAAATGGACATAAGAGTCTCAGATCTTTCTGCCCCTAGCTGGCTCCCAACATTAATTCTCAGCTGGATTATGAAATGGGTGATATTCTTGACTCATGACATTCTTGTCAAAAGCAACCGGGGGAAGGAAAAGTTTGGTAGCTCAAGTATGTATTTTATCTCATTCTTTTTATTTTGAACTCTCTCATTTTTCTTACATGTTAAAATGTATCTTAGAAAGATAAGATCAAAGAGTTGGCGTGGGGAGGGTATAACACAATGGTAGAGACTGTCTAGCATGCACTAAGTTCAATCCCCAGCACCGCAAAACAAGAATAAATCAAATATTTTAAAGCTAATATGTAAAAAGAGAAAACTGAGTGCCCTATACTGAGTGACAACAAATTCATTTATTTTAGCTATAAGGCTTTAAACACTTCTGAGCCTCAAATCTTACCCTCATCTCCATAGCCACACTCTTTTCTTTCATGCATAGTTGCAAGGGTTTTTTTTTTCTCTCTTTGCTCCTTTTAACATCTTAAACTTGAATTAAACATAGAATAGAAAGTGAAATCTATTAGCAGCAGTATGTTTACTATGATACTCTTCCAGCCTATTAAAATATCTGGTTCTAAAGATAACTATTTCATTGGCTACTTTTGAGAAGATGTTTCAAAACTTAAAAAAAACTAATGATTATAATCTAAGACAAGCATATTAATTTAATAGACTAGATCTGAATATAATAATTGATAGAAATACAGAGTTTAAAAGTACAAATGGCCAAGTGCCGGTGGTTCACACCTCTAGCTATTCAGGAAGTTGAGATCTGAGGATCACAGTTCAAAGCCAGCCTCGGCAGGAGAATCCATGAGACTCTTATCTCTAATAAACTACTCAGAAAAAAAGCTGAAAGTGGCAATATGGCTCAGATAGAGTGCTAGCCTTGAGCACAAAGAGGCTCAGGAACAGCACCCAGACCCTGAGTTCAAGCCCAGAACTGGCAAAAAAAATTATTTTAGCCTTTTTGGATGCTTTAATAAAACTCAGAAAAGACAAATAACTAAGAGTTCCATTTTGTTTTGCTTTTGTTGTTTGAGATCTTACTATGTAGCCCAGGCAGGCCTCAAACTCAAGATCCTTCTACCTCCTGAGTACTGATATTACAAGCACAAGCAACCATACCCATTTTGATAACCACATTTAAATACAGTCTCATCCTTTTCCCAGAGATCATGGACTAGAAACAGAACATTTGATCTCTATTTGCTTATTTCATTCCAATGCTTACTTTGCCTTTTATTATTTTTCAAGTTTTATAGTCTTTCCATGTCCTCACCCAAGGAACCAGTACTGGAAAAGAAAGTCAATACCATATTGAAAAATAACTAGGTGTCTTTCGTTATCTCCATAAGAAGGAGAAGGTCAGCTTTCTGCTGCATACCCTGAAGGATATTCTCAACTGCACAGTCAGAATAATATTTTTCTCCTACTCATCTGATTCACAATATTATATAGTTCCAGGATTCATGCTTTAATACTGAAAGAAGGACCATGTTTCAAACATGAGGTGTGGCACACTTTGATTCCTTAAATTTGAGGTGGCACTGCATAGGAGCAGGCCACTGATTTGAGATAACAGAGAAGTTGGTCAATGTCCACAGCCAGATAGGAGTCTTGTTAGAGCTGAGACATGTATCTTGGATGGATATGCATGTCTGCAAGACAATACCACTGCTATCAATCTGTGATGGCAGCAGTTGAGTGACACAGGGAGATATGTATCAGCAAGTCACAAGTTGACTTTGTTACATGTCACAGCACATTCCTCTGAGCAATAATTCATGGAAATGAGGATCCTGGGTACTTCAGTGGCCCAGGCCTTTGTTGTCATGTGGCTTGAGAGGTTTCTTACTTTTCTGGTACCAGCTTTGGTTATAAATTTGATCTTGGAGTAAAATACCTGCTCTGTTAATTTCTTTACCAGTTCTTTTTATTTCTTTTTTTTTACTGAGATTTTTTTCCTATTTTCTTATTGTCAAGGTGATGTACAGAGGGGTTACAGTTACATAAGTACGATAGTGAGTACATTTTTTGTCAAACTTGTTACCCCTTCCCTCATTTTTCTCCTACTTTCACGACCCCCATCCCTTGCCCAAGTTGTACACATGATTTCCAACATATTGTCTTGTGAATATCACTGTTTCATTGGTTCTCCTTTGTCCTTTGTCTTACCATTCTGTTGTTCCACTTCCCTTCCCTAATTCAGATAAACATGTATACAATATCAGAGTACCAAAATCAAATTCAGTGACAACAGGGGATTCATCGCAGGGGAAGAATATACAAAAGAAACAAGAACTCACAACAACAAAGTAAGATCCTGTATTGGTGATCCAGAGACTGACTTTTCTCTGATGTCAGATGGAAATTTTGCTTTGGGTCCATTTTTTTCTTTTTTCTTTTTTTTTGTAAGGATCAAACCCAAAGCTTCATGCATGCTAGACAAGCACTCTACAACTAAGCTGCATCCCAGCCTGCTTTGGATCAGAGGAAACAATGACATACACCTGAAAATTGTCATTTACCTGAAGGTGTTAACTCTTGACAAAGAGATAGTAGACCAAATCAACTCGTTTGGGCTCTAAATTTCTCATTTATTGACTCTGGACAAATATGTGAAGTTTAATATATTTCACTAAAAAAATGACCAACTTCTCCCATGTGCATATGATTTTTTAGAAAGAACTTCTCCTTGATAAGAATGGCCAATAGACACATGAAGAAATGCTCAACTTCTCTGGCCATAAAAGAAATGCAAATCAAAACAACATTGAGATTCCTCCTCACCCCAGTTAGAATGGCTATAATCAAGAACACTAGTAACAACAGATGCTGGAGGGGATGTGACCAAAGGGAAACCCTACTGCATTGTTGGTGGAAGTGTAAACTTGTTCAACCACTTTAGAAAGCAGGATGGAGGTTCCTCAAAAGACTCCACATAGAACTCCCCTATGACCCAGCAATCCCACTTTGGGGCATTTACCCAAATAATCACAAACAAGGCCATACTAAAGCCACCAGCACAACTATGTTTATCCCAGCATTATTCACCATAGGTAAGATATGGAACCAACCCTGATGCCCCTCAGTAGATGAATGGATCAAGAAAATGGTATGTGATGTGTGTGTGCATGCATGTGTGTGTGTGTATGTGTGTGTGTATAATGAAATTCTATGCTATACTTCCATCAGAATGATACCCCATTTGTTAGGAAATGGAAAGAATTGGAAAAAATCATACTAACTGAAATAAGCCAGACCCAAAGAAATATAGGTCCCATGGTTTCCCTTATTTGCAATAATTAGTATATGTCTACGATAATCTATCAGAAAAGCTCAAAAGCTGTGTGCCTATGACCATATAAGATGACACTAAATGAAATGAATTCCAAATTATGGACACAAGAGGTTTTTCTTTGTCATTGTTGCTTTTAATGTACTATGTGATTTTTTTTGTTTCCTTTGTATGTTCTTTCCCTGTTGTCACTGTATTTGATTTTGGTGCCCTGCATCTTGAATATACATTTATCTAATTTGGGGAGGGGAAAGGAATAACAAAATGCTGAAACAAGGATACAGGATGACTCATTACAATCATGATACTTACAAGACATTATGTTGGAAATGAACTGTACAACTTCTGGAGGAGGGAGTGGGAAAGGTGGAGGAGGGAAGGGATAGTAGGAGAAAAACAAAGGAGGAAGTAACAATGTTTGACAAGAAATGAACTCATTTTCTTACTCATGTAACTGTAACCCCTCTGTATAGCATCTTTACAATAAAACAATTAAAAAATAGAAAGCCCTTCTTCTCAGTGGTTAATCAGAGTTTCTAAGTTTCTACATTGAGCTTATTTTTCAAAATAAATATGTATCTTTCTGATTATTTTACAGAACAAAGCAGCATAAAAATATTAACCAGCAAACAACAGTATATTTTGAGCCAACCTTTTAGAAAACATTTTTTAAGTTTTGATCCTTTTATCAATAATAGGCAATTAAAAATTATGAATAAGACTGAGTTAAGTTGGAAACATCAGAATAAAGGAAGAAATGAGAGAAAGAGAGAATAGATATGAGTGGATACCACTCAGAATGATTTTAAAACTCTGAGAAGACACAAAGAAAAGCTGTGTCTATCAATAACATGCTGATGTCATATGGCAGTCTGCACTCCAAGTGCATCCTCATTGCCCTGATACCACATGGGTACTATTTTCCTCTGAGCCCTGCCAGCTAGCATGTTTATCTTCCCTATATTCCACCTTGACACTTACAAATACAAAGAGAACCAAAGACATGCTCCTCATTGGAGTCCTTATCCACTTACCATATTAGAAGCACTTATTAAGTAGCTCCTCTGTGTGTGTGTGTGTGTGTGTGTGTGTGTGTGTGTGTGTGTGTGTGTGTGTGTGTAAGAATGAATGGATGCATGCATGGATGAATGGATAGATAAACGGATGGATGGATAAGTGTATATTACTTCAGACTGGCTTTCTACATACTACTACTGTTGTGTAAGACAGGAAGAATGCCCTTGCCTTGTAAACAAGCTCTAGAGATACACCTAACATCGGTATTATGCTATATCCACTTCATTGCAATTAAATAAATGCTAGAAAGAAGAAAACCAGTGTATTAAAACAAAAAATAGTGTATTTAAAGGAGAGTATGATAGAGGGACTTGAACTAATCTGGTAGGCCAGGAAAGTTTTCTAGGAAGTGACATTTTAGACAAACACACACAAGCAAATACATACATGTACACAGCCATAAATGCACATGTATGTAGTCAGTAGCCATGATGACTATTTCTTATCTTATAGGTCATGGTCAGCATTTGAAATACACCATTGGAACTTACTGTAACCCCAGGGAGAATAGAGATCATATGACCTTACTATAAATATCTGCCCCAACAGTAAAGAAGTCAACGTTGACCACCTGATAGTTGAAATCACCTCAGTCATCACTATGGGCAGAAATGAGTAAATGATGTAAGACTTTTGTGTATAAGTATGTGCCTGGTACCATACTTGATAAGCCAACAATAACATTGGAATGGAATCAGTTGTGGATCAAGTTTATCCTTTGTAATTAAAGAAGAGAGAGGAAGTTAGAAATCGAAAATGGGCACATTTTAACTAATAAAGCATAGAATGTAATTTTTGGATATATTTGGAAATGCATTTCCTGATGCTAGGGAAGGAAGCAATGAAATTGATGACACAAGTCCCTTAATGAGATTCTCTCACTCTGTTACTTTAAAATCCAATTGGCCTATAATATGATTACCTTACTTCTATGGCCAGAATGTTTGTGACCCTCCCTCCAAATTCATGGGTGAATAGTTAGTCCCACATGTGATGATGGTTAGTAGATGGGGCTTTCTATAGGTGATTAGGTTATGCAGGACCTTATATAAGGAACCCAGGAGAACTGCCTTGCACCTTCTACCCTGTGAACACACAGTAAGAAGGTGCCATCTACGATTTGATGAGTAAGTCCTTACCAAATACTGGATCTGCCAGCAGCTTAATCTTGGGCCTCCCAGCCTCTAGACTGTAAGAAATAAATCTCAACTATTCTTAAGTCAAGCAGTTTGGATGATTTTGTTAAAGCCTTCCAAATGCACTAAGACATTTTTTATAAGGAGAACCTATTTGTGAGGCAAGGTTCTTTATTTCCTCGACATCTCTGCAAAAACAGAAGAAACTACATGATACCTGCTATGTCTATTAATGATAGAAAGTTGTATTACAGTACTATCAACAGCTATGTCAAATAGTATTTACCTATTTTTATGGACGAGGCCCTTCCAGAGAGTTCCTTAGTACTTTTCCATTAAAATGTCAAATGAAACCAAACACTAAATTGTACAGGCTTGTTGATTTCTCAAGCATTAACTTAAGAAGACAGCCTTCAGACCTTTAGACCAATCACCTACACTTACCCCATTAATTTCTGATGTTGCTTGGAATAAATTAACATTCCTGGAATGCAAAGCTAACTGAAATAGCTGTGGAGAAGAGAAGAGCATTTCCTGGCTTCAAGTATTGAGAAATGTAATAGCCCATGCTCCAATAAGGATTCCTGTTTCCTCTCAAAGTGTCTTTGAGTAGATTGGCAGAGTACTGAGGTCATTCTTATAAAATGAGAAAAATGAAGACTTACCTAGAGGTATTTAATAGTTACCAAGAAGACTCCCTGACACCTTTTTCCTGGAACACTGCCTCAAATCTCTCTTGCTGTGGAATGGCCTATGGGAAATTGCTCTTAGATTCTCTTTGGAAAATAATGGATGGACACAGAAATGTTGGCAATGGGTAAAGGCTGCACATGTAGCCTCAGACTTTACAATGAAGTCTTCCACAACTGCAAACATGGAGCCAGCACACATTCATTAGAAGACATAGGAAGCATACATTTTCAACAACTCCGTGAAGTTCAAGATTTTAAGCTTACATTGACCCACTGCAAAGGCAGGTTTGTCTTACCTTTAGAATTGGTATGAAGTGACCAGAATCCATACTCACCTGATGATTAGACACCAGTTCATTGAGAATCAAAGTTAAAATGAAAGGGCCAGGATTGAAAGCCCTTATTGGATACAGTGTTAGAAAATATCTGTAGGATAGTTTAGCCAATGAATATATCACGATTGACTTAAAATTTCACTAATGAGAGTCCTTCGGGAAATTTATTACAAACCCCAGCTTTCCCCAGCACAAACACA